AGGGACGTCGTGACTCTTGGTATACAGGTCGTATTGGCTGCAAATGGTAAAGAAATTAAGTAAAGTCTCAAAGGTAGAATATTCAGGATGTTTTCAAAGTTGCGGCATTTATTTTAACAGCTTGTAGAACTCTTCACAAGAAGTTGATGTACCGAAAATTACCTATACAGGGTGTTTCAGTTTATTGTTGCATAACTTTAAGATTCGATAGAACTTTTGAAATTAATGCATAAAGTCTATATAAACATGGGTCGAAAAATACGTGGCTTCCGAAATACAGGGTGTTTAAATTTACTTTCTAAAATAGATTTTTTTAAATATTTCGAACAACATTTGATATATAATAGTGAAAATTGGTATACAAGGGCTTTTTGCTACGACAAAACGAACCATGGGCATAGTTTTACTAAAGCCGCTAGAGGGCGCCCTCTACTGTACCTGTAGTGTATTAAAATGACCGAAAAAATTTTCTCAGTGCAATGTTTTGCTTCTTGAATAAAAAAACTGATTCTTCGCACTTTTTAACATAAAAAAGCTCTCTTGTGAATTCTCGTTACAGTTAGCCGTTTTTGAGATATTTCGATTTTTAAGGTTCGATGCATTTTTAATTATTTATGATAAAATAACGTTAAAAAGTCAGTATCTCGATAATGTTTAGAAGTAGGCTGTGCCTGCAAATATTTTTGAAATTGAAAGCAGAATAAGGTTAAACGTCAATTAGTTGACAGTTAGTTTTGTTGTCTGTTGAAACCTGAAACGTTTTATTGCAATTGTGAATGCACAAAATTTAGTTTCTTTTACCTGTTTTTTTTGTAAGTTTTATAAAAATCAACATATTTGGTCGCATGAAAATCCGCATGCAGTTCGGGAAAGAAACTTTCAGCATGAATTTAGTGTGAACGTGTGGATTGGTATATACCGTAATCGACTATTTGGACGCTACCTTTTGCCTGCAAGGTTAAATGCTTGGAATTTTTAAAGGCTGAACATGCAAATATGTGGGATGATGTTATGTTAGATTTAAGAAGATTGGCCTGGTTCCAGCTTGATGGTTGTCCAGCTCATTATTCGAGAATAGTTAGAAACTGGCTGGACGAAAACTATCCACAAAGATGGATCGGCAGTGGAGGACCAGTCGCCTGGCCTCCACGATCCCCTGACCTAAATCCATTCCCGTAACCACAAGAGATATGCTAATAGACAGAATCAGGAATGCATGTGATGAAATAAGGCCTTATTTGAATAATGCTATACCACGTTCGATCATTCATAGATGTGAATTGTGTATTGAACAATTGGGTTTACATTTCGAGCAACTACTTTAGATTTTGTATGTTTGTCCTAACTATCCAATAGCATTTTAGTTGTAAATAATTAATTTAATTTGTTAAAAATAATATTGGAAAATTAAACAAATTAATATTCTGTTTTTTTGTGTTTATTTGGAGTTAGGAATTATTGCTGTGTTTAAAAACACAATCTAAACGATCATCTTAATTACTTGTAATGGCCAAATCGAAAATGTAAAAAAAATATTATTTTCCCATAAATAATTAAAAATGCATCGAACCTTAAAAATCGAAATATCTCAAAAACGGCTAAGTATAACGAAAATTCACAAGAGAGCTTTTTTATGTTGAAAAGTGCGAAGAATCAGTTTTTTTATTCAAAAAGTAAAAAATTGCACTAAGAAAAAATTTTCGGTCATTTTAATACACTACAGGTACAGTAGAGAGCGCCCTCTAGCGGCTACAGTAAAACTATGCCCTTGGTTCGTTTTGCCGTACCAAAAAACCCTTGTATACCAATTTTCACTGTTATACATCAAATATTGTTCGAAATATTTAAAAAAAAACTATTTTAGAAAGTAAATTTAAACACCCTGTATTTCGGAAGCCACGCATTTTTCGACCCATGTTTATATAGACTTTATGCATTAGTTTTGAAAGTTCTATCGAATCTTAAAGTTATGCAACAATAAACTCAAACACCCTGTATATAAGTTGCATAATATATACGAGTTTACGGTATTATTGTCCCCATTTGTTTGATTAACACAAATTCTTGATCGGCGAATCCACGACTATTCACAAGCACGAATTAAATCACAAGCATTTTCAGCGTGCTTCCAGAGTACTTTCAGCTCCATCATGATAAAGAACCTCTTTCAAATAGCCCCACAGAAAAACATCGCAAAGCGCTAAGTCCGGGGAGCGAGCAGGCCAAGAAATGTACCTATTGCGCCCTATCCATCTATTCGGAATCTCATTTAGATGTTCATGTACTCCTCGTGGCTAGGTCTTCACAGAGTGAGGAGGTGTAGCGGAGAAAATACTTCTTAGCCATAAACATATAGCCTAGCTTTTTCCCAGCAGCTGCCGCTACTGACGATGTGTCCGTGCCAAATCAAGTCCTCGGTGATCTTAACTCCAACCAGCCGAAATGGGCAGAGCTCTGACATTCATCTAAACCGGATGAGTACTAGGAAGCTGTTTGTTCGTCAAAAGAGACGTAAATTCTATATAAACTAGACTGTAATATCAATAATATGAGATAATTTTTAGGATTAACTGGGATGATATTTACACCCCCCAACACACCCCGAAATATTCGGTAAAGATTTAAGAGAAGCCTATCTCAAAAGACATCAAAGCTTCACACGGCGTATACAGGGTGGTTCAGTTTATTGTTGCATAACCTTAAGATTCGATAGAACTTTTAAAATTAATGCATAAAGTCTATATAAACATAGGTCGAAAAATGCGTGGCTTCCGAAATACAGGGTGTTTAAATTTACTTTTTAAAATAGTTTTTTTTTTAAATATTTCGAACATATTTGATGTATAATAGTGAAAATTGGTATACAAGGGTTTTTTGGTACGACAAAACGAAACATGGGCATAGTTTTACTGTAGCCACTAGAGGGCGCTCTCTACTGTACCTGTGGTGTATTAAAATGAGCGAAAATTTTTTCTTAGTGCAATTTTTTGCTCTTTGAATAAAAAAACTGATTCCTCGCACTTTTCTGCATAAAAAAGCTGTCCTGTGAGTTTTCGCTATAGTTAGCCGTTTTTGAGATATTTCGATTTTTAAGGTTCGATGCATTTTCAATTATTTATGGGAAAATAATATTTTTTTTACATTTTCGATTTGGGCATTATAAGTAATTAAGATGATCGTTTAGATTTCGTTTTTAAACACAGCAATAATTCCTAACCCCAAATAAACACAAAAAAGAATATTAATTTGTTTAATTTTCCAATATTATTTTTAACAAATTAAATTAATTATTTACAACTAAAATGCTATTGGATAGTTAGGACAAACATACAAAATCTAAAGTAGTTGCTTGAAATGTAAACCCAATTGTTCAATACACAATTCACATCTACAAATGATCGAACGTGGTATAGCATTATTCAAATAAGGCCTTATTTCATCACATGCATTCCTGATTCTGTCTATTAGCATATCTCTTGTGGTTACGGGAGTCTGGTACACTTTTTCTATTAGAAATCCCCACACAAAGAAATCTAATGCATTTAGGTCAGGGGATCGTGGAGGCCAGGCGACTGGTCCTCCACGGCCGATCCATCTTTCTGGATAATTTTCGTCCAGCCAGTTTCTAACTATTCTCGAATAATGAGCTGGACAACCATCAATCTGGGACCAGGCCAATCTTCTTAAATCTAACATAACACCATCCCACATATTTGCATGTTCAGCCTTTAAAAATTTCAAGAAGGTCGGAGCATTTAACCTTGCAGGCAAAAGTTAGAGTCCAAATAGTCGATTACGGTAGATACCAATCCACACATTCACACTAAAATCATGCTGAAAATTTCTTTCCCGAACTGCATGCGGATTTTCATGCGACCAAATATGTTGATTATGAAAATTTACCACTCCACGTCTAGTGAAGCATGACTCATCGGTCCATAAAACGTTACTTAAAAACTCCCTATTATTATCAGTTCTATCAAGAATCCACTGACAAAATGTGATTCTTCGTTCTCCGTCCACTGGCTGTAGTCCTTGCACAGGTTGCAAATGGTAAGGACGTCTATGGTCATTTCTAAGAACACAGTGAACATGGCTTGCTGAAATTCCCAAGGCACCAGAAACTCTCCTAACACTTGTGGTCAGATCTCTATCAAACTCACGCAGAATCATACGGGTAAATCTGCGCTGACGAACATTTATGTTTTGATCCCTTTGGGGATTTCCAAAACCATTTTCAATTATTTGGCGATGCACTCTTACAAATACTGAGCGAGTTGGATGTCGTCTGTTTGGAAATCTTCGTGCGTATTCTCTGGCTGCTTCTGCCGCGTTTCCATTTACAAAGCCATACACAAAATGAATATCCGCTAACTCTTGATTGGGGAATAAAAATGGCATTTTTATAAAACTTATAAAAAAACACGTAAAAGAAACTAAATTTGGTGCATTCACAATTGCAAAAAAACGTTTCAGGTTTCAACAGACAACAAAACTAACTGTCAACTAATTGACGTTTAACTTTATTCTGCTTTCAATTTCAAGAATATTTGCAGGCACAGCCTACTTCTAAAAATTATCGAGATACTGACTTTTTAACGTTATTTTATCATACATAATTAAAAATGCATCGAACCTTAAAAATCGAAATATCTCAAAAACGGCTAACTACAACGAAAAATTCACATGAGAGCTTTTTTATGTTGAAAAGTGCGAAGAATCATTTCTTTTATTCAAAAAGCAAAAAATTGCACTAAGAAAAATTTTTCGGTCATTTTAATACACTACAGGTACAGTAGAGAGCGCCCTCTAGCGGCTACAGTATGACTATGCCCATGGTTCGTTTTGTCATACCAAAAAACCCTTGTATACCAATTTTTACTGTCATACATGAAATATTGTTCGAAATATTTAAAAAAAACTATTTTAGAAAGTAAATTTAAACTGTATTTCGGAAGCCACGCATTTTTCGACCCATGTTTATATAGACTTTATGCATTAATTTTAAAAGTTCTATCGAATCTTAAAGTTATGCAACAATAAACTGAAGCACCCTGTATAGTTCTTGTAAGAATAAACAAATTTTCGTAGCTGCATATTAGGTTCAGAAAAGGTCTGCGATATCGAATACGGCCCTGCTGTTAGGTGAAAAGACACGAAGCGTGTCACTACTCAACCCAGGCGTTGTGTAGGTAAATTGTGCTGTTTGTTTACAAATCGGATTTGATGAAACTGAAAATGGAACAATAGAAGTGACGAGTTTGTCGACATGATTGTTAGTCTACGGTTAGTGTTTTGTTTTCCCCCAGAAGGCTAGTAAAACGGGATATTTCAAGAATCGTCGAAATATGCACTGTGGAGCACCTAGAAACCCCAGAATAGTGGACACGTCAACACGAATATGTTTTTGGAAACCAGCGGCGGCAGCTTTAAACAGTACACTTATGAGAATCATGTGTCTCATCAAATAAAGGGTATACAATAATTAACGCAAGATTTGAATTTGCCGCCATGTTTGAAGTAAATTGTAGGCAGCCCTGAAAAAAGAAAAATTTGACGGCTGAGAGGTTAATAATAATGGAGCTTTATACGATACAACAACGTATTTCATTATTGAACAATATTTCAAAAATAATGAAAGTTTAGTATCCGCAGATGGAATTAAACCATGCATCAACGAAATTCAGCCAGAAAAGTCATGAAACATTTCGACAAAAGAGTGTTCCATACGTAACCCTATTCTAAGAACTTAATGGTTCAATAAAAAACAACAATCTAAAGACTCAAAACTGTGTTTTCTATTTAATTTAAAACTTTCCTTAATTTTGGGACATCCTTTATATGGTCGCAATTTTCATCAATTTTCGATTTACTATTTCTCAGTTTATTCCTTATGTTTGTTTATGGAACTGAATGTCCCACATTTCAAAACACCCTGCATAGTTGGCTCTGTTGTACAAAAGAGAATGTTTTTACTTACTTGAATTTGAGTACCCATTGCTTGGTCTTCTCGTCCTCCTCAGTGAGTAGATGAGAGTAGTCTCCAGATGAATGCCATGGGTAGAAGCTGTGGAACCTGATCATAGCCAGAGCCTCTGCAGGTAGTTTGGTGTTGTTGTGAACTAGCACCCTGTAAAGGTACTCGTCATGGCCCCAAGACATCAACAGGTTATCCAATCCGCATTTTGCTTCATACATACCGTATTTGGTGCTGCAAAATAACACACCGTTTTATTACACGTTGTTCATGGGAGTGTGGCAGTACTTTTAATTAAATACAAACATATCGTCGGGTTACTTCCAAAACAAGATAAGTACATTTTTGTCATTTTTGGATTAAATGCAGTTCCGAAATGGTATAATCTGTACTCTGGCAAAGCCAGATATCTTCATATTAAGAGGAAGATAGTTTTATGCATGCGCAACAAATACGTTAAGTGCAACATGAGACCGTTAAAGACAGCTAAGACAAGACATGTGCACTTGCGACCAACAACATTGAAATTATCGTACGACACAGGTAGTTTTCTAAGAGCGAAAATCAGTCATGAGGCACTTATCTCATTTTACCAGTTTTGTTCTAGTGCTGATATAAGAATTTTTGAGTCAGGATAAAATAAGTACCACAAGTCGGATTGTTCCAGATAGATGGTACTTACTGGTCCCTTCCAACTAAGCAATTTGCTAGGTGTGGACAGCGCTAAATGGTAAAAGCGGTAGCAATTACATAAATCAGCCATCTTCTGTTGTCACCGAACTATCGCTGTTTTCGGACACGTGTAGCGGTCAAAATATTAGTGCTCTTCTGGTGTACAAAGTCCAAATTGGACGCAAATATTCAAATAATGGTGCAAAAGATTTTAGGAACTGGGCACAGCTATATGGAAGTCGAGAGTATGCACAGTGCAATTGAAAGCGCGCAGAAGCTAGTTCCTGTTTATAAAGTCCAGGACTGGTTGACAATTTTCCACATGGCCTGAACGTCAATATTGAATAAAAAACCGCATAACGGTAAATAGTTAAAGCAGGGGCGGCTGGCCTTTAAGTTCCGCAGAGCTGCAGAACTGCCAAAACTTTTGTCTTAACAGAAAAAAGCAGTAGTAATTTGATCATTATTTATTTTCCATGTTATCACACAAATAGAAACAATACCGGCAACTGAAGACTTTATACTGCACCTAAGCTGGAATGTGCATCTAGTGTATGGCATCCATATTACCAAATCTATACTAATGAAATGACCCCCCCCCCCTACTGAGCGAGGGCCGTGGCAAATGCTTGTTCCGGAAGTTGTTGTATCCAGTATACAACTTCTTCCCGTCCAAGTGATTGTACACGCGTTAAGGAATACCTCAGTACCGATTGCCGGGTGGCGGTACAAGTCCGCCAACGGGCCACTTCAGGTCTATTTAATATCACTAACACGTAAAAAGAAGGTGGTAGGCAAGGACCAGTCGACCGAGGCGGTACCACCCGCTAGCTTTTCCCAGGGTGTCTTATAAATGTCCGCATGTTTCCACACCTAAGCTATGCAGTCGGTTATCTTCCAAAACAAAGAAATTAATGATGATGGATCCCTCGAGCACTAAGAACTCCGGACGTAAACTCACTCCACTCTCGGAACGTCGGGTGGAGGTTGGGCTTGAGGGAACAACATCGAAGATAAAATTTGTTTTTCAAACTTCTGCGGGATTACCAGCAACATTGATGCTGTTCATCACTACCTGCAATCCAATCGTCCCGCCGTGCTTTTCTTGGCGGAGACAAAAATCTCAGAGACTGCACCGATTAACCATCTCAACTTCCCAAACTACGAGGTGCACTCCAATCTGAGAAAGAACGGGGGAGTTGTGGCTTTTGTCCGCAGCAGTATTTCCTGCTCCAGGGATCTTTCTTTGGAATCAGACCATAAGGACATTCTGTGGCATCGCCTCAACTCCAAAACATCACCCAAATTTATTTGCTGCCTTTATCGCGCTCCCTCGAACCATAACTGGGATGATCTACTCGAATACCTCGCCGTCCAGATCGACTTCCTGAACATCAATCACCCCGCTTCAGAGGTAGTTCTTCTCGGTGATTTCAATGCCCATAATGAGCTTTGGTTGGGCTCAAACAAGACCGATGCAGCAGGTCGTGCAGTTAAAGTGTTCGCTCTTACTGTGCTGCTGATGATGAGCCCTACTTTTTTTCCCCCGCGTCTCGTCACACGCCAGTAGCCTGTTGGATCTCTTTCTGACCACGCATCCTGTTGTCCCTTACAGCACTGCTGTCCTGTCCCCCTGGGTAACTGCTGCTCTGGCAGCAGAAACTCCTACAGGCCGCAAAACTTGGCATTACGGACATGCCGACTGGGAGGGGCTCAGAGACTTCTTCTCTAGCTTTCCTTGGAGAGATGTCTGTTTCACTGACGCGGATGCGTCGACTGTCTGTTCTTCGATAACCGAAATTATCCACGTCGGAATGGAGGAATACATCCCTCACACAGTGAAAGTTCCTAAACCAGGGTCCAACGGCTGGTTTAACAAATCATGTGACACTACTCGCCAGCAGAAGATCAAGGCACACAGAACCTACTTACAAAACCCCACTGTAGAGAACAGACAAGCCGACGTCGAGTCCAGAAACAAATATAACGAAGCGGTTCGCAATGCCAAAAACCAGCATGATATAAAAGTTAAGCACAGGGTAATGTCGCAGCGCAATGGCAGTCGGTCTTTCTGGACGCTGGCCAAGCAGATTGAAAAGAACTTCTCACACAGTAGCCTTCCACCACTTACGTGTCAGGATGGAACTATTTTATTCGACTCAAAGGCCAAGGCGGAAGTGCTAGCCAAGATCTTTGCTGCCAACTCCACCATGGACGTACCCAACAACGCCCAAGTGCCGTCAATTCGAAGGGTTCCCCACACTATGCGGGAGGTAACATTCAGGAATAAGACCGTAAGACGAGTGCTCTTGTCGCTCGACATCAACAAAGCTTCTGGGCCGGACTTGATTCCTGCCATTGTACTGAAGAGATGTGCAGCGGAGCTTGCTCCAGTTCTTTCGCGTCTCTTCCAGATATCTTATGAATCCGGCACCTTCCCAGAAAACTGGAAATTTGCTCATGTCCAGCCCATCTCAAAAAAAAGGATCTAAGACCGACCCTTGCAACTACAGGCCTATAGCTCTGCTTTCTGTTATAAGAAAAGTGATGGAGAGGTACATAAATCGCGAGCTTCTGGACTACCTCGAACGTCACAGCTTGATTAGCGACAGGCAGTACGGTTTCCGGCACCAACGATCCACAGGGGACCTCCTAGCTTACGTCACGCAATTGTGGAGTAAACTCATCCAGTCTCATGGTGAGGCTCATGTCGTTGCTCTTGACATCACAAAAGCGTTCGATCAGCTGTGGCACGCTGCCCTCTTAAGCAAACTTCCATCCTATGGCCTCCCAGAAAATCTTTGCAGATGGATGACTGACTTTATCTCTGGCCGCAAGATATCCGTTGTAATTGACGGATTCTCCTCTTCATCCCACAACGTCAACGCGGGTGTTCCCCAGGGATCGGTCTTGGCTCCAACACTGTTTCTCTTACATATCAACGACCTCCTTTCCTGCACGATCAACCCAATCCACAACTTCGCTGATGACAGCACTCTACATGCAGGAATTCAGAGTGACAAGCCGATCTCTGCCGCTGAGCTGGAAAAAGGAAGACTAGCGACGACTTCTTCTCTGACAAGGGACCTGGAGGCTATCACTGCTTGGGGACGCAACAATCTTGTACAGTTCAATGCTTCCAAAACACAGTACTGTACTTTGACGAACAAAAAGCGTCCTAGCACTCATACAGTTTCGATGGACGGCCGAGTTCTTCCAAAGAGCCATTCATCTCGGCTGGTCGGAGTCCAGATCACCGAGGACCTGATCTGGCACGAACACATCTCGTCAATAGCTACAGCTGCTGGGAAAAAGCTAGGCTATTTGTTTAGGGCTAAGAAGTACTTTTCTCCGCTTGACCTTCTCACTCTATACAAGGCCCAGATAATGCCCAGCCTCGAGTATTGCTCACACATTTGGGGTGCTGCCGCCCCGACTACATTGTCCATGCTCGATGACTCTTCTCTAGCAGACAGTCTCGGGACTCTTTCGCACCGGCGGGCCGTCGGCGATCTAGCTCTTTTCTATCGCTACACCAACGGGCTTTGCTCCTCAGAGCTCTCTTCCATGATGCCGCCGCGCGATGTGCCTGCCAGACAGACCCGCCTGACTTCGGCGTCCCATCCTAACCGTGTCAAACTTCGTACATTCAGAACTGGCCGATACGACCGCTCCTTTGTCCCGAGGGTGTCTAGATTGTGGAACAATCTACGGGAGGAAGCTTTTCCCAGTTCTACTAAGCTTAGGCAGTTCAAAAATCGTATTAACAAAATTTCTTTGGGATCATCATAGCAGCCGCAGTGTTCCGGCATTTAGGCTTCTGCCTGCGCGGCTGTTTCGATATAAAAAAAAAGAAGAAAATAACAATTATCTTTCGGAATGGTTTGTGATTCATGTCGGCAAAGTAAACTCCCATATTTCGCTAAAAAATGCCCTTTGAATGAACGCTATTCCTTAAAATCCTAATAGTGATGGCCGGAAGCCAGGTGTTTTCGGGATAAACAATTAGAGACTCTCAAAAACTTGACCAATTGACTCAAATTTTGTTGCGGTTATTCAGAATTCTGAAGCCTACGGATTTGAAGAATTTCAAGTAGCTGCGTGAAATTGTCGTCGCATTAGAGAGCCATAACCTGCATTTTGCCTCGGTCTTCGGCCATAACTTTTTTACTATTAGTCGAATCTTTTTACGTGTAGTCTCATTCTCTAGGTCTCATAAATACTTAAAAACCTTATTTGAAGAGTTGTTTGGTTTCTGACAACACTTTCGACTGATTCCCAAAAAACGCATTTTCTCTTTATTTGTTGTCGAATAAAAAGTTTACCCACAAAAATTGGTGTACCCTCTCTATGCGTCTATCTTTTAAATACCGCCTTGAACAACTTGCATCAATAAAACCAGACTTAACAATTATTTCGGCGAAATTTGCTAATATGATTAGACAATAACCCAGTCATTGTGCCAAGCACATACAGGGTGTCCGCAAAGTTGGGGTTTTCCTTTACACGACGTGTAGATCTTGAAAACATAAGCAATTTTTCTTAGTACCATATACACCAATGTCTTAAGGGAACCGAGATAAAGGGCTCTGCAGCATCAAAAATATCTGAATACCGTCCTGTAGCCGCGTGGTACAAGGTCACTGGCTCAACCCGACGACAGAACTGGGTCGGGGTCAGTGTGTCAGGTCAGTATGCAACCTTCAACCGACGGTTACGGTCACGCGTGTAGAGGTAATCGAGTAGACGAGAATCCCTCAACAAGCACTAGAGACGTGGCTAGAGAAGTGCAAGTATCAAAAACTAAAGTGTGGCAAACGCTGCGTGAAGAGGGGCTGTATCCGTTTCACATCCAACGTGTACAAGCCCTT